AAACAAAGGAGGAGGCAACAATGCTTGATAAGAAATGTACTCATTATCTTGCCCATGTAATTGTAACCCCTCTGTACAGTATTTTCACAATTAAAAAAAAAAAAGAAGAATTTCAGGCTCGGACTATGGGTGTGGCCCAAATGACAGAGTACTTACCTAGCAAGGATGAAAACATGTTCAAACCTCAGTACCAACCAAACAAAATAAAATCCTTAAATGAATAAACTATGGGGCTGAAAGAGTATAGCAAACTAATGAGGCTTAGCATCACAGGTTCATGTTGCTTATCCTAGTGCTTGAGAAGTTAAAATTGTTAGGATTGAAGCTCATAGCCAACTCACAACCAGCTCACGCAGAAAAAGAGTTATAGAGACTTTTTAATAGAAAGCTGGCCTGTGCATATATCTGTTATCTTAGCAACAAGAGAAGCCTAACATAGTGGATTGTAAATACCTAGGCGGGAAGCAACACTTTATCTAAAAAATCAGGAACAAAAACTATGGTTGGAGGTATGGCTCACTAGCAAGAATGTCTGCAAATATGAGGCCCTGTATCACAAAAAAGCAATTATGAAACAACATATTTTTGACTTTAAAAATATAATATTTAAGATATCTGTCTACTTCTCTTGATTGGCAATCTCTTTAGATTGGTAATATTTTATGATAGCCTTTGGAAATTCTAACACCATACACCTTGGAATCTGGGGATATATGGTTCCAAGGAGACTGCCTGCCATTGAAGACAAACCAAAAATGCTCAGGATGCAGAGCATTTAGTGTTGCACTGCAGATGTTTGATCTATTCTTCTCATAACCTGACTTCTCCTACAGATAAGTACCTTTAAACAAACCTAAAATTTTCGCTTTATCACTTAAAATTAAGTACATTTACTTTGCCTTACTTTTGGGGCAGTGTTTGCTTTGGGGGGACATATTTTTACAAAATTAAGAGCAGGGAAACACTCAGCAGATCATGTAATGATTTAAATATAACTATGATAAATGTAGGATGGACCAAGAGCTTCTCCACACCAACTGAGGTGTGTAATTGGAAATAGAATTTTAAATTTTTTTTGAATTTTACTTGCATTTATGGATTTATTTACTACACTTGGCCAAACACAATAAAAATTCAACCATTGTTGAATTTAGGACATTTTAAACTTCTTAGAAGCATAGCATTAATTTTTCATACGAATAGAAATATAACACATTTGTTCTTGAAAGAATGTAAGACATAAAAATTTTAAATCTTCCTTGTTAATTACATCAGCACAGACCCATGTAGGTATCCAAAATTTTATTTTGGACTAAAGAGAATATATACCTATACATCACTGAACTTGTTTTCTCGAAGACTCTAGACAATAGATTTCTGTATGTTACAAATGCTTACATTTTATTTATTTATTTTTGGTACTGAGGATTGTACCTAGAGCTTTGTACATTCTAAGCACACACTCTAACATTTAATTATAGCCCTAGCCCCCAAACTACATTTTTAGAGATTTTTGAAATATTTTTTTCAATCAACTTGGACGTAATAATTAGACTAACATAAGAATCTTCAAGCTGAAAGAGTTATACTAAAATCATACCAGTATACTCAGATCTGTTATACGAAATTATTCAATATTTTACTATTTCAAATTTCAACTTGCAAGCTAATTTAATAAAAATAAAAATTTCACAAATTTGCAAAATATTGTAGAGAGTAAAAAATAACAATACATTTAAAGTAATTTTAGCCAGGCCAGTGGCTCATGTTTTTAATCCTAGCTACTCAGTAGGATGCATTCTAAGGGTCATGGGTTGAGACCAGTCTGGGCAGGAAAGTCTGTAAGACTTGAATCTTAGTTAACCAGAAAAGAGCCAGAAGAGGAGTTGTGGCTCAAATGATATAGAGTTAGCTTGATCAGGGGGAAAAAAAAACCACAAAAAAACCCCTCTAAGAAACAATACAATTCTGAATTCAGCACTGGTACAAAATAAAATTAATTATGACAGGAAATTATACCAAAATTATTAGAAAGTATAAAATTGGTTATTGAAATTCTTAAGAAAATTTTGTTTCATGAGTGACATTTCAAGCAACTTAATCTGGTTATTATTTTAAAAATGTTTTAGGAATGATAAGTATTACTTAAATTTTAGCTTTTAATTTAATTGTAATTTTTTGAAAAGGGATGTTTTAATTGTTTCCAGGCTTGTTTCAAACTCTTGGAATCAAGTGAACATCCTGACTACTTCCCAAGTAGATAGGACTATAGGTACAAGCCACAATGTACTAACTTTTAAGTTTTAAAGTCAGATTACCTATATTTTAGACATTATCCAAAAAATTGTCTTTATACTGAAAACCCTCTGAACTAAACTTCTTTGCATCACTGAAAAGCAATTAAGAAGTATGATACAGAATTTATAAAATATATATTATATTAATATAATATTATAATGATAAATCAGTATTGAAATCAATTTAAACAGAAACTCAATACTATATGTTATTACCCTTTTGCTCAGAAATCAGAGCCACATATATTTAGAAAAGTTACTCGAATCATTTGGAAATGAAAAGCTCAACTACTGCTATCACAAAATATCCTGGCAATATGTTTCTGAATATATACTCAAGATATACAGTTTACAATTGAAGAGAATCTGTGCAGTCAAAAGAAGATACTTGTTTAGGAATCTTAATTCTATCCTCACCTGTATTTACCTTAAGTTCAAATCATTTAACTGTTCTGGAGTCTGTTTCATAATCTACAAGAAGAGGTAGTTAAACTGTCTGCCTAGAAGATTTGCTGTAACCCTTATTAAGATTTAAAGCATGTTCACAATATGCAGCTCACAAACAAAATTAAATCTCACTAATTTAAACTTACTAGTTTGGAGTCTGGTAAGATGGGAAAAGTAAAGGGAAAAGTAAAGATGGAGAAAGGATTATGAAATGATATTGCTCTAACAGAGTGAATCCTGAAGCTAAAACCTCATTTTCACCATGACAGACAGTAGTAGTAAAATTCCTAAAAGCTCACGAAGATTTCATAAGAGCAGTCAAAAAGATATAAACAGCGGTTAATCATTCTTGCATTACTTTGAACAGAGTTTAATTAAACAAGTCTCACTTCTTCAACAGTCCTTATCCAAGCTTTAAGAGTTTAAAACTACTTGACAAAAAAATGACTAGGGGAAGAAAAAAATGCATTTTTACTCTTTGTATGATAAAAGATAAATTGACAGGATGCAGTAGTTTTTCATTTTCTCTGCCCTATGCTAACACATGCACAACTTATTCTCACTACCAGGATTTTAATCCAAAGATATAGATAGTTATAGGACCATATGGATAGTAAGATTCTCTAAACATCAGAGTAAAGCTAAATGGAGAGAGAAACTACCTCTAACTACATGAGTATATTAGTATATCCCACAGCGTGACCTCAGGTGGTGCATCTGCCGAATAAGAATTTACTACATGCTAGTTAGGTAAAAACACTATTATCCCTAACACTGGACTTTTATTGTCTGTTTCACCAAACTAACACAGAACTAAAATACAGGAACCAGGTAAAGGTCTATATAAGATTTTTTTTCTTTGAAAAAACTCAGTAGAAAAGTAAATTAATGAGCAATTGAAAATGATGCCTAACAAAATATTATTATTGTAAAGAAAGGTGGTTCACGCCTGTAATCCTAGCTACTCAGGAGGCTGAGATCTGAGGATCGCGGTTCAAAGCCAACCCAGGCAGGAAAGACCGTGAGACTCCTATATCCAATAAACCACCAGAAAACCGGAAGTGGCGCCTGTAGCTCAAGTGGTAGAGCGCTCGCCTTGAGCTGAAGAGCTGAGGGACAGCGCCCAGGCCCAGAGTTCAAGCCCCACGACCGACAAAAAAAAGAGAAAGTATTCAAAAGAAAGCTTTTGAGTAAATCTTAGCAAAGTGTTTTAAATAGTAGTACAAAGAGATTTCAATTCAACAAGTCAATTTATGAGTACAGTGCATCTTAATCCAAGTCACCTTTTCCATCATTCTTTCCCGCATCCCCCCAAGCAATCTCTTTTCTTTTCTATTTCTTTATTTCCTTTTCCTTTCTTTTATGCTGGTATGGGGGCGTGGGCACTGTCCCTTACCCCTTTAGCTCAAGTCTAGTGCTCTACCACTTCAGCCATACCTGCACATTCAGCTTTTCACTGGTTAACTGGACTTTTCCCGCACAACTTAGCTTTGAACCATGATTGTCAGATCTGTTTCCTAAGTAGCTAGAATTATAGGCATGAGCCACCAGAACTCAGATGTAAAACTTTTCTGAACATTGTAGTTCAAGAGAATTTAACTTACAAACACTGTAAAAGTATAGAAAAACTTTCTACCTTCTGAGTCAGGATCTCCAAATGGATTTAATTCTTCTACATCAGGTTCATCAAATGGATTTGAATTCACAGTGACCGAGTCTTTTTCTGCTTCATCCAAAAAGTTAAGTTTATTGATAAGTTCTGAAAATAAGCATGCATAAAGTCCACTATAGTTAAGGTGAAGTATAACTATTAATCATTCACGAAACATTTCAAACTTTAGAAATTCACATTAATAATACCTGCAAATGATGAGATACACTATTTTATCAATAGCAGAATGCCATTCAAGTATTTTGTAGTATACCAACATGTCAAATTAATAAAAGTACATGTACTCTAGTTTGAAAATTATACGAGATAATTAACTATATTAAAGGCATTTTCATTTGAATTGCATTTGATTCAAGTTTAGAAGCACAAAACAGGTTTTTAGAAAAAATATGTCATTCCTTAATAGAGAAGCAATACAATATATGTATATAATATATATAAGATCACTAAAGAAATATGTTTTATGATGTATTAAACTCAGAAGATGTTTTTAAATCACTATTTAGGATCTTGATACAAGACTGTGCCAAGGGTAAATTCTGTTATCTTATTGCCTGTTGGTGGACTACAAATTACCAAAGAAAACACTGTACAAAGAACACAAAGACAAAACTGACAGCTAAGTACAGACAGAAGTCAAGATGTAGCAGGTCACAGTAAATACAGGCAATCAGAAGCAGATAGAAAGGAGGAAAGCTCTTAGACCTTCAGAGGAACTGGCTGATTTAGCTGAAGGCATATTTGCTTGTTTTATGCAGTCATCTTGATCTTCATCTAAGCTGCTCAGAGCATTCAACTGGTTTACAATTTCTGTAAACAGAAGCCAGTCAAGACAAATGTAAGGTAAGGTCATTTAATTAAAGAGCAGCAGAAGCATGCTGTTATTAAAAAAGACAGAGAAGATGTTTGGTTAGTTAAGACAATATTCAGGGATGTTATTTTTGATGAACTTTAACAGATGTAATTAAGTAAATATTATATTGTACTCATTTTAAGATTGAAAGTATTTTCTTAACATTTGTTAGTAACATAATAACTATGTTAATAAACATGTAACAACACTGGCTTTCAACAATTACATTTTGCCATATGGAAAAATAAACTGTTTTAAACACAAACCTTGCAAGTGAAATAAGCATCATTTGATATTCACCATTTATTTTTTATTTTATACTCTAAACTTAAACTAATTGTTTTAAGAATATATCTACATGAATCATTTACATAATAAGAATTCACATTCTAGAATTTTAAAAATCAATACTAAAAGTAAAGAGGCTATTTTCTACTTCTATTTTATATAGAATCTGTTTTTTAAGTCAATTTTTCAGTATTTACTTTAAGAATCTTATAATATAGCCAACTGCAGTCAGAACAAAAAAGATAAGGATGAAAAGAAAAAAATGAACATAGAATTCACTTTGCATATAACAATAAACAAATTAGTTACATTTTAGATGACTTTGCATATGTGAAATTATTATTCAATGGATAAAAATTACACAAGATACCAAGTCTCAACTAGGATGTTCTAGTTAGTAATTGGTGTTTCTAAAGTCAACTAGGGAATATTTTAGATACGATGATAAATCAAATAAATCCAGACTACTCAGTGGGAGAGAAAGAAAATGGTTAGAAATAGAAGACATTCATAAGTCTGACATTAATACTATTGTTTCTCAAAACTACAAATTTATGTTCACGCTAAGTTTTATTTGAACAAAATTAGAGATTATACATTTACACATTTGTATTATGGTTTCCTTCATGCATTCATGTGCTGAACAAGTATTTATTTACTACTATTGCCAAGTCTTCCATTTTCTTTTCAAAAAGATGAAAAGAAAAACAGACAAAGAATTGTCCTCAGAAAATTTACAACCTATAAAAATACACAAATGAACTTAAGATAGACTTAAATGACTGCGAAAATAGTTGACTATTAGAAATATGTTTAAGCAAAATACACTGGAAAAGTCAATAAACATATTAATTTCTCTTGTCCACATGAGAAAATCTATATTGCATGAGTGAATTGCCTGAATTAGTCAAAGTAAACCATGAAAAACAAGTAAACACAACCTGAACTAACTCTTCAATCCTATCTTAATAGCAGTAAATAGGGCTAAGACTTAGTCTTGCTTCTGTTCTGACTAAAAAGTACCTTTTTCCATTTTATTCTGCCAATAATTTTAAACTTCACTCTCACTCAAGCCAACGTATCAAATATTTCAGTAGGTAGAATTCATTAATATATTATACCATTTACTTCCCATTACCCATCGTAGTAACACTGTAATTTTTTAAAAAATTAATGACAGCTTTAAGTTTTTGAAAAATAAAAATGGAGGATCAGCTATTAAGTGATGGGTAATGTTATGAATGATTTTTTCATGCATCACTGGTTGTATTTTTTAATTTGCAAATGACTCATTTTTAACTCTGAAAATAAGAATTTTAAAAAGTAATATTAATTGCAACTAAAGTACTAAGTAGTAGGAAGACTGAATATATTATTAGTTCCCAGAAATAGCATACCTCTTGTGTATTATTAATATATACATTTGATTATATAATTAATATCACTTATTTAACCTATATTCGTAGATGTGCAATTACAAGGCTGAAAAAATATTTTAACTGCTCAAAGATTTCATATCTGTTGAATAGTTAAGACATCTTAATTATTTTATTTTCAAACATATAATATCACTTAGAACAGAACTTACTTGTTAAAAATCTTATATACTAATCATTGTTAGAAATAATGAAATAAAAGTCCTTAGTCCTTACTTTTAAAATATTAATATTGTTCCACTGAGTTTTAGGTACAATATGAACATTTGTTCAGATAATACTAAAATGAATGTTTACAAGACTAAACCATTTACATCATAATATTTCTGAATGTTTTCAATATTTCCTCTATTTTTTCTGATGATTTCCTCATTAACAATCTAAAGTAATTGTTACATTTTTTTCATTAAATGCCAAAGTATCCTTCCTGTTCTCATAGATTTATCCTTAGCTTCTACAGCTTAACTCATATTAACAGAATGAAAAATTACATTGGTCATCTTTATCAATGTTCCTTACAATTAATTCACATCATAAAAAGTAACTTTCAAAGGCATACAATTATTTAATAAATATTTACCTATTACATGCTTGAGGTAGGAACTACACTTATGGCTTTATAATTTAGTAGCACAGATAGACAAATAGCAATATCAAGTACATGGTAAATGTTATGATGGTGATAGCATTGAAGGCTATAGGAAACTTGAGGCAGCACATAATTCAGTTTAAGATAAAGAGGGTTTCTTGTTTTTTTTTTTTTCCCTACATTTGAGCTAAGACAAATAAACACTGCTACTATTATTAAAATACATAGAGGAGGGGCTGGGAAGGTGGCTCAGTGGTAAAGTGCTTGCCTTGCATGCATGAGGCCCTGGGTTGGATTCCTCAGCACCACATAAGCAGAAAAACTGGGAAGTGGTGCTGTGACTCAAGTGGTAGAGTGCTAGCCTTGATCTGAAAAGCTGAAGGACAGCGCCCAGGCCCAGAACCCCGCGACCAGCCCCTTCCCCCCCCAAAAAGAAATACAAAGAGGAAATGGAAGGATTTCTCCAAAAAGGAGGCAAGGAATAAATGATACACAAAGGAACTGCAAGCTGTTTGGGATTTAAGATGCCAGGGATGGGACAGCAATGAGATAAGGTTGGCAAATGTTCTAGCATGAAGATATTTGTGATCAAACTGAATGTAAATTTTACTCTTAGAGCATAGTTTCCATGAATACACAGAAAGATCAATGTACATCAGAAACATTTAAGCAGCAACATGGTGGTAGCACTTGAAAAAAAATAGGATAGCACACAAGACAAACACCATCACTCCATGAATGAAGACATTCTATGAATATTTGTTGATTAAAGAATAAATTAAGAAAAAAATTGACAGATATAACTGAGAAAAGAGTCTGGGAAAATGCCAGTTTTGTATCTTGGGTGACTGTGTAGAAAATAAGTTTTAGCACTGAAATGGGACTATTCAATTGGGGACAGCCTGTGAAAGTTCCTGCAAAAATAGTTCAACTGGCAGTTGCTCTGTGGATCTATAGCTTAAAATATGTAGTTTGCTATATTTTTCTCCTTTTTTATTTTAAAAATACTGTACAGAGGGGTTACAGTTACATGAGCAAGGTAATGAGTACATTTCTTACCAAGCATTGTTGCCTCCTCCTTTGTTTTTCCCCTGCCATCTCTTCCCTCCCATCTCCACAACTACACTCCCCCCCATCTAAATTGTAAAGTTCATTTTTCAGCATAGCATCTTGTACATATATTTCTCCTTCTAAAGGAGAACTTTACTGTTTCTTCCAAATTTCTTGATATCAATGTTTTACTTTTATTAAGAAAAAGTTAAAAAGCAAAAATAAGATTTAACAAAAATGTATTATTTAATTTCCCCCCCACAGGAAGCTTTCCAGGAAATATACTATCCTAACCCAATATATGTACATAATACTTATTACTTATTAAAGCCTACTTCACTGAAAATTTGCACACTTGGAAAATGCTAATAATCCTATGTAACGTTGCTACCTTACTACTGATAATTTCAACCTTACTGCTCAAATAGGACAATAAATCCACAGAGCAAAAAAAACTTTATGTGTTGATCTTAACTTGCTTCACATTGGTGAGAGTAAGAAGGGAAACTACATTAGGGGCAGGCAATCAAAGCAAAGGGTCAAGTAATTTGAGACTCTTCTTGATTGTTAGAAAGGTAAAAGAAGATAGAAATTGACCAAGAGAGATTATCACATTGAACAAAAAAGGGGGGATAGGGAGGCAGCATGAAGAGTAGAGGTGGCTTTTTCCTTTTAAGAAAGTCTATAGGATGAGTTAAAAGAAACATTGCCTAGAGCTAGAACATACCTGAAAACTCTTGCGTCATCCTCATTCTTTTCGAGTATAACTAGATTTAGTAACAGTCTCTTTAAAACAGTTAAAAATAGTAACACTTTAACTTCCTGGCAAAAATCAAGGTCAAAAGATGTCACCTTTTTTAAAGATTTAAGC